CCCGCCAACGTTCCCAGGCCATGTTGGAGACGTTAGACAGCGCCATCTCACACGTGATCATATCGGAGAAGGACACAGAGAGCAAGGTGATGGCCTGGAGGAAGCTGCTGCAGTACCTCTTCACCCAGCTCACCAAGAACTTACCCAACACGTAGGTGCTCACCCTGGCCCGTGTCTATCTGTTCCGCGCAATAATTTAGCGATCCGCGCAGTCGCCCTGTCCAAAGAGGTTTTATATATTATTTTTTCTCGCAATTTAGTGATTTAACGATCGTATAATTTCGCGGCAATCTTAAGATTGCTTTCCGCGTTTTAACGATAGTATAGTTGTGCGGAAATAACATGAAGATTGCGTTAATATTTTTTTTTATTTTTGAAGAGCTCACAAGAATGATACAATAATGCCAGGCAATCAAACTCAAAGTTCACAAAGTACATTTAATTTATTTCATATCTTTAATTTTTTTTCAAAAAATTCTTTTCCATCTTTATTCTTTTACTCACATCAAGGAACATTTATATATTTTCAAAAATGTAAAAATATGAAAATTAAAATTAAACATAAAATTAAGGATGATACTGAAGAGCCCACAAGAATGATACAATGCCAGGTATCAAACTCAAAGTTCACAACGTAAATTTAATCTGTCTTAAAATTAACTTCCATCTTTGGTCTTTTTCTCACATCAAGGAACATTCGTATATTTTCAAAAGTGTAAAAATATGAAAATTAAAATGAAAATTAAGATATGAAACTGAAGAATTTACAAGATTTATACAATTTATACGATAGTTAAAACGCCCAGCGCAATCTTAATAATCTTATTGCACAGAAAATCCCGGTCTACTACCACGGCTCTTGACGGCAGAAGATATTCGGAGACGTCTCTGGCGAGCACCCAGGAACTATTCGGAGACGCACTCCCGCACACAGATGCGCTGCTTTGAGGGGTCAGGCTGCGTATTGTTTGCTGCAGATCACACATAATATAATCACTAAAACTGTCGGAAATCAATTATTTTCAAGACAATTTCAAACTTTACCTCAAAATATCAAATTCTGGGTTTCAACTCAGGGGCATGCCCCCC